GTTCTTAACTATGTTCTCTTTGTATTTTGTCTGTATGTGTAGTTATTCTAGGGATTACAGCATGCATTCCTAACTTTTTGGACTCTTTTTCCTTTTTTTTAGAGATGGGGTTTCTTCATGTTGGTCAGGCTGGTCTCGAACACCCAACCTCAGATGATCCGTCTGCCTCCGGCCTCCCAAAGTGCTGAGATTACAGGCGTGAGCCACTGTGCCTGGCCAACTTTTTGGACTCTTATAGCTAATATTGGACCATTTTATTTTCATCATAGAAATGTTGCAGCTAAATTATCAAATTGGTCCATTTACTCCTCTGTTCATCCTTAATGCTATGATGTCATATGTACTGCATCTACATATTTTATAAACACTATAAAGCAGTGTTGTAATTTTTGTGTTAGACAATCATGTCTATTTAAATTAAGTTACTAGGAAAAAGTACCTTTTATATTTACCCAGACACTTACCACTTCTGATGGTCTTTATTCTTTCCTCAGGAACTTACTTCTCAACTGCTATTTCCTTTCAGACTAAAGAGCTTCTCTTGCATTTTCCATATTGCAGGTTGACTAACGCATTCTTATAGTGTCAGTTATCTGAAATGCATTTTGCCTTCATTCTTAAAGGATATGTTTTTTGGATGTAGAGTACTGGACTAATACCCATTTTCTTTCTGCTTACTCAAGTCATTGTTTTTTGTATTTAATATGCCATTTATTTCTGACTATTTTAAGATTTTTTGCTTTATGATTATTTTTCTTCATATTTATTCCACTAGAAGTCCACTGAACTTCTAGAATCTTTTGACATTTTTGTCTTCCACCAATTTTGGGAAATTTGTTGCCATTATTTATTCAAAGAGTTTTTGTTCCTAGTTTCTGTACTTGTCTTTTCACTACAATTATACATATATTAACATATATTAGCCCTTTTAATATTTAGCCATTTCTCCCTGAGACTCTGGTTTATTGTTTTTCAATTCTTTTAGTCTCTGTTGTTCAGACTGAATACTTTTTATTGATTTGACATCATTTTCACTAACTGTTCTGTCATCTTCATTCTGCTTGTAAGCCTATCCAGTTAATTTTTTAAAATTTTAATTTCTATTTTTTTTTGAGACAGAGTCTTGCTCTGTTGCTCAGGCTGGAGTGCAGTGGCACAATCTTGATTCACTACAACCTCCACCTCCTGGTCAAGCAATTCTCCTGCCTTAACCTCCTGAGTAGTTGGGCTTAACAGGTGCCTGCCACCATGTCTGGCTACTTTTTGTATTTTTAGTAGGGACAGGGTTTCACCATGTTGGCCAAGCTGGTCTTAAACTCCTACCTTGTGATCTGCCTGCCTCAGCCTCCCAAAGTGCTGGGATTACAGGTGTGAGCCACTGCCCCTGGCCCCAGTTAATTTTATAACTTCAGATAATGTACCTTTCAGTTCTAGAACTTCTTATTGGTTCTTTTTTCAGTATTCTGTTTCTCTGATGAGATTTCCTGTCTTATCATTCATTTAAGCATATTTTTATTTGCATCTTTGACTATACTTTTAATTACTCCTTTAAAGTTTTTGTCTCCTAATTCTAACACTTGAGTAACTTTGGGATTGGTCTCTGTCTATTGTCTTCTGAAAATGGGTCATATTTTTCTTTTTCCTTGTTTGTGAAGTAATTTTGGATGTATCCTAGTTATTGCTGTAATTATTACATTGTAGAGACTCTAGATTCTGTTTTATTCATCTGAAAAGCATTGATTTTTGTTTGTTTTAGCAGGCATTTAATGGTTAGGTTCAAACTGCAAACTATTCTAGGCTGCCCTCAAATCTTTACTCATTTTACCTTTAGCTGGCATTTTTGAAGTTTTTCCTGCACATGTGTGGTTCCACAAGTCAGCTATAGACTTGAACTGAATATATGCAGAGAATTTAGGACTCTTCCTTTCTGACTCTATCCTTTCCAGGATTCTTCCCCTCACTTTCTAGTTGCTTTGGTTACCTGGCACCTCATCCTGTGGTTCTTCAGACAGACTGAGGAATTTTCATCAGAGCTTTAGTTGCTCTGCATGTTGTGACTGGGGCCTGCCCACAGGCTGAAAGCTGCAACAAACAGGTAACTAACTCACTTAGTGTCATTTCTTTTTCTGTGTTGATTCCCCTCTAGAATCAGCCTGGTTTCAATAATTTTCTAGTGCTTTCAGGTAGTTGATTTGTTATATTTTTGTCTGCAGTTTATAGTTGTTCCATGCAGGAAAATTCCTCTGATAAGAGGTTACTCAGCCATTGTGGAAAGTAATGTGGCAAATGTGGTATGGTGAAGTGCAAGCTTAATTGTTATTTTATTATTTTAAAATATCCAGAAAAGGAAGAGTATGATGTGTATAATACACACACACACACACACACACACACACACACACACACAGAGAGAGAGAGAGAGAGAGAGAGAGAGAGAGAGAGAGAGAGAGAGAAAGAACTGTTTTAACTCCATAGTTCACTTAATAAAACATTGGAGCAGAAAACATTTCCAATGTAAGTATAGATAGTTTACCATATGTCAAAAGAAAATTCTTTAAAAAATATGGAAATAAACCTTCTGGGATTTATTGTGACTATTTTCAGGGATATTAGCAGTAATTACATTTTAAAACCTGTAGATGACTGAAACCTTGGGCTGATTTACAAGTTCTGTTATGTATTATATAGGTAACTTTTTTTTTCTTTTTTCTTTTTTTTTTTTTACTTCTGATGTATGTTTTGTTTTGATTCAGTTAAAATAAGAAAGAATAATTTCTGATTTAAAAAAAATTTGGGCCTGGTGCAGTGGCTCATGCCTGTAATCCTAGCACTTTGGGAGGCTGAGGCAGGTGGATCACCTGAGATTAGGAGTTCAAGACCAGCCTGGCCAATGTGGTGAAACCTGATCTGTACTAAAAATACAAAATTAGCTGGGAGTGGTGGCATACGCCTATAGTACCAGCTACTCGAGAGGCTGAGACAGGAGAATCACTTGAACCTGGGAGGTGGAGGCTGCAGTGAGCTGACATCGCACCACTGCATTCCAGCCTGAGTGAGACAGAGCGAGACTTTGTCTCAAAAAAAATATATAATAATAAAATAAAATAATTTGATGGATACTTTCCAATAAGATTTTCACTTTCTAGGAAATGTTCTTTTCATGATTCCTCTTGTACTCTGTAGGTTCTTTGTGAAGCAGGAGGTAGAATCTGTGTTTTGATTTTACTTTCATCTCCGTGCCAATAGTTTTCCTTCCTGCTCTATCTCCTTTATTTTATATTTCTTTCTCTTAACATCTCTTAATTGCCGCTAGTTTTTTATGTGTAGTAGGAAAGAAAGTTTAGGAATATTGATTATATTATTTGATTTTTTTCTTTATTCCACTACACGTTTTTTTAACTTGCCTAGCTCTTTTCTTCTTTGCTAATGTAAAAATTTTTAAATATTTTACTCAATGAGTTGGGAATTTGAAGAAGTAAAAGCAAGGACTCCATATATTCTCATTCTATTGGGAAGGTCCTGCTTGTTGAATTTTTAGGTATTTCAAGATGTTCCAGTCAACTGACAAGGACTTCTCACAGTGTCAGAACTGTAGTGATGATGAGAGTAAAGCAACTAACAAATAGTTCTGGTATGTAAGTAACCACTTTTGCATGTTTACTTCACCAGAAAATTCTCTGGAGAATAGCAATATCCTGTATTCCCTGTTAGATATTTGGAAAACCACTTGCATGCTTTCAAAGTAGATTTTGAGTTAATCATGTTAATCAAAGAAGAATAATATATTTTAATCATACATGAGATTTCTGAAACATTAGTATATATCTTCACTTCTTAATTCTTCTAAAAAAGAAAAAGTAAAACTTAAACTTCCTTTCTTAGAACTTTCTAAATATATGAAAATTAAACTCGAGGTTTTAATGTATTCCTTACTGTAAAGCCATTATGGAAATTGTAAGATACCAGTCACTAATGTGGACTATATTTCCTTTGATATATAGATTATCAATGGAGATTTGTTTGATTTTTACTTTTTATACTAAATTAATCTTATGTTGTCACATAAATAAAAAATTTTTAAGATGTATATTTAGTTTGTAATGTGTTTCTTAGGATAATATGGTTGTACTAAATCTTTGGAGTGATCCACTATATGGATTCTTCTCTGTATGATAACAATTCTGTCCAATTGGTTGACTGTAAAGAAGATGGAATTTTCTACCTTTATATTATAGTTTACTCTTAAATGGTGAGATGGTTATTGTTATGAGAATAGGTAGGTTGCTTCTTGTAATAGTTGTTAATTTTTAGATATAATGATGACACTTAAAGATACTCTGGCTTATACTTGGGAAAACATTGTTACTTGTGATTCTGAATAACACCCTACTTTTAAAAGTTGTTATACTGTATAGAGTACCCTATTACCCAGTAGTATAGGTTCCAGAAGTTAAAGTGTTCATTTATATTATCAACAGAGATTAAGGAACAGAATAAAATTCAGTGAAGTCATTGTTTTCATACATTGCTTTAAAAATATTTTCTTCTTTTTAAAGGTATCTAGATCTGTTGGAATATTCATTTTTTCCACTATCAATGATTTTTGTTTGTGTATTTCTTAAGTCATCTAGGGTTGCCATCTTAAAGAAGAGTAGCTATATTTCTAAAGTGTTTTTCTACTTTAGTTAATGCAAACAGTCTCATTATCTAGATGCAAGGACTTTAAAAAATTCTGAAAAACAAAAAACAACCGAACTTACCCAGGTCTGGTCTGTGTTAGGCTTGTAACTAAGCTCAGTTTCATTTGCTGGCCTTTTGATTTAATCCATGCTGATTAATATTTTCTGTATGGATAAGCTTGGTCCATTAACTTAAAGATAATTTATGAATAAACTCTAATATTCTCCCACTTTGTAAATCTTCTGTATTTTCTTCATTGTAATAAAAAATATCATACTATAGTAACTAATTCTTGCCTCACACCCTTTTTTCCTCTTTAGAAAAATTGGAAGCTCCACCACCCACCCCAGGACAGCTGAGATATGGTAATGGTTCTATAATTGTTAAATATGTGTTCATCTATCTTTTGGCCTTGAAATAATTGTATCATTCATTGATAGCACAGAAGAGTCAGTAAATTAAATCTTTCCAGATAGAGTAGATTATCCTGTTCATTACCTGAAGCACAAAGTTTATAAACTTGACTGATGACATAATACAATATTCAAATATCTAATATTGTTAAAAAGATCTAATATTATTAAAATATTATTGCCATTTAGAAATAGAATTATTTTATGATAGAAGTTTTCTTAATTTCAAGGAAAAAGGATGTATTTACTTTAGTTTGAATTTAAGTTGGGTAAATGCAGAACTACAATTTCTAGGCCCAAGGCTAGATAGAACTGTTCTCTGGTGGAGAAAATGCTTCTGGCTGGCTGACAGTAAGAATGAAAAAAGTAAACCTTATTTAAACAACCAAGAAGAAGGACCTTATTACAATGCTGCTTTCTTTCTCTTTTCTCTATTATGATAGGAATAAATATTCAGAATAAATAAATATTCAAGAATATACCAAAATAGCATAAAACAAGTTGGGATGTTATAAAGATAGAGGAAGTGAATTATTTAACAGTATAGTGAATTAGATTAGGTTGTAAATTAAAGCTAAATATGAAATATGATTTACTAACAACTGCTAAGTTTGAGAACAGTGTTTCTGAGAGTAAATTGAAGAAGCCACAAATTAGTAGGAGATCATTACATACTAGAGAGCAAATATATATAATTAAAAAAAAATAATGGTCAGTTATTTTTTCTCTGACAGGTAGAATGTAATTTATATTAGAAATTAGTAACTTTCCTCAAATACCAAAACAGTTTAGGAATTATTTGAGACTTCTCTTCCCAATTAATCTTTCATGATCCTCCCAGCTTAGAGTCATACAATCTATAGTTCATAATACTGTATAATACTATTATCATTTTTTTATAGGTGATATTGAAATTTACTGTTTATATGGCTGTGTTATCATACCTAAACCCCTTTAGGGCTGGGCACCAAGTCTTATTTATCTTTGTATCTCAGGTGCCCAGTGGAGTGCCCTGTATATACATATTTAATGTTTTGAAAACCAATTTTTTTTCCTTTGAGTTAAAATAAGCTTTAATTTTAGGACATATTTACATAGGTATAAACATTCAAAACAAGTCTTATAGTTCAAAGTGATTATTATAACAGAGTGCCTTGGTTTTACTGACCAAGTTTTACTAGGATAGCAATTTGTATACTCTTAATTTAAGATCACCTAATTTTAAGATATTTGTAACTGGCCAATTTTAGAGATGCTATTAAGTGAATCCCAAAATGTTAATTAATTCTAACCAGTTTCATAATTATTTTGCTATACTTAAGTAGCTTTCTCTTCACTGTAAATGTTTTATTTAGTGAATTTTTAGAATTTCATTATATTCTTAAACTATTAAATTTGTAATGTGTATTGGTTCTGGAAGCTGCTTTTCATAAAATTTTGAGTGTTTAGTGAACAACCAGACTTAGCCAATAAGTTAAAAAACTAAGGCTAGATTCTTTGAAAAATTTCGTTTTATTAGTGTTCTGCTTGATTTTTACCATCTTTAATAACTTAATATTTTTTATAATTAAAGATATTGTCCTTGATCTTGGACATTCTTACTTAAAAACAAGAAGAAAATTTAAATGGCCTATTTTATACTTGTTGTGTACTGGTTTCTGTAATATTGTATAGCTATAATAATATTGAAATAATAGTATTCTTATACTGTATATAGTATTGTACCTTAGTCTTAGTCACTGATAGTGGTTGTGGGCAGAAGTGCTTTTTTTTTTGACTGCTTATTAGCTTTCCCTGATAGGTGCAGAGCTCAATATAGTAATATCAAATTTTTAAAACTTCTGGATTATATTTTAATTATACTTTCTGTGGCAATAACTGCAGTAAAAGAAAAAAGACTCTGAAAATTAATAAACACATATAACCAGTTGGTTTAAGAGACTATTTTTTGGATGTTTATTTATTTATTTAATGTTTGTTGAAAACAAACTATTTTTTAATGCTTGTTGAAAAAAGTTCTCTACTGAACAGATGTTCACTATACCTTGGCAGTTTTATAGATTAATTAGAATAAAGTCTTTTAACTATTCCCAGCTTTTAATCTGTTTCACAATCTGCCTTCAATTCTCTCAATCTGGAATTCTCTTTCTTTCCATGTTAGTGGTCATCAACTTAATTAAATAATATTTTTTGAGCATATCCTATGCCCTCGGTATTCTGCTGAAGATGTAGATATGAAAGAAATGAAAATAAATATATAAGAAATATATAGGTGTTAGTAGTTACATATCTCAGATCATTTAGATTATATACCCAGTAGATGAGGTAAGGTGTGTTTTTGGTAGCAACAGGTGAAGTTACAGTTTGATTTAAATAAAATATTGATTGTTTATAGTTTGCAATAGCATTTAGGAATATTAGTAAATTGTGGGGGGTGGGAAAGATTGCACATAGATGAGATAATCACCATTTACTAACATTTCTTTAAAAAAAAAAAAAAACGACTGAGTAAAAGCAACCAAATAGCTTCTCTGACATTTGATTTAGGACACTTTTAATTATTTCTAATACAGAAATCAATTTTATAGTATCAGACTTTAGGTGTAAGAGAAAAAGAAATTGATGTCAGTAGCAATTAATCAGGTAAAACATGGTACTTATATATGTTTACTAATTTGTTCTACTGTTAATTGTATGTATATTCATGTGTGTGTGCCTATGTTACCAGTAAGAAAACACAAAAACCTAACACAATTATTTTACATGTTTTGTATTTTTTCCACAATATAGCTTCTATTTATAGCAGTAGCAGCATCTATTGACTATGGAAAATGAGAATCAAATTTTGAAGATTATCAAGTCTGTTTAGGATACTTTGATCATATCATCTGTTTTTGTCATTCTAAAGTTATAGAAATCTTAAAATATATTTTTCTGTTTTTGATGTTTTTCAGTATTCATCCACAATGCGATACCTTTCATAGGGTTTGGCTTTTTGGATAATGCAATTATGATTGTTGCAGTAAGTTCTTTCTCTCACCACTTCTATTTTTAAGTTAATAAATTAATGTGGTCTACATTTTCCTAATAATTTTTCTGTTGTAGTTATAAAGTTTTAATATCATAATGAACAAGGATGTTTTTTACTTATATTAATTAGACTGTAGCTCAATTTTAAGGCATCATATTTATTAATCATTAAGATGTTAAGTAAGCCATTTAAACAAATAGACTTTTGGTAGAGCATTTAGACAGAACATTTAGGGCCTATATTATCCCATTTAATTTCAACATTCTTAATAAAGAAAAATGATATGTAAAATGTTCTGATGTTCTTTGTGTTGGCAATTATCGTCACATATATAGGTAATTATTTGATTTAGTTCCTTGTTCAATTTTCTGACGTGAAAATGTTTTAAAGCATGTTTTGATACATAGTCTAGCCTTCAGCCTAGCCATTTTTTAAAGTTTCAATTCAATTAAATGAATATATCTCCCTTTTGCCTTTGTTCCATCATAGTGTTAAAAAATTCCCCTTTGCTGTGGTATTTTAATGTAAGGGTGCTCTTTAAAAGTGTTTAATCTCAGAGATGGCTGACTTGCCTTTCTTACTACTATGTAAGGCCTTTTGTTAATGTATACCACTATTAGGTTCATACTCTAAAGTCAGAAATGGATCCATGATTAAAATGCAAGTCTTCTAAAACTGCCCAGTGCTCTTTCCATTTTCAAGAACATACCAAAGTTTAGCTACAGCTTATGAATTTATCATAATGAGGTTTTTGTTATAATTAGATTTGATTGACAGTAGTTTTTTAAAATAATCTAGTCAACTCAGATTTCAGTAGTTTCAGAGAAGAGGGCATGGTTCTAAATAGTTGAATAAGTTTCTTACATTCACAGATATATAAATAGGCCAATTTTATTCTTATATACATATTATGAAAATGCCATAATCAGTCAAAAAGCTATTCACTTCTCTTATTTTGTCCAAGTAAGATAGATTGATCACAGTCTAGTTAAGATGACAATTATCAACTTTAAATACATATTTTTAGAATATTTTATGTGAAGTCATTCTTTTCAGGTATTAGCTTTAGACTGAAGGTAATAGATCTTGAATACACTTAGTGGGAGGAGAAAAAAGTATAATGTACTTTGAATACCAGTTTATGAGTTCTCAGGTGGGTCTTAATTAACTCGTTGGAGAAAATCAAAGTGTTTCACACTAGAAACTTTTATGTTAGGACTTACAGAGTTTGTTCTCAGCTTCACTGACTCTAACTTTTAAAAAAATTTGTAAACAATAGCTAAAGTGTAGGATATTGCTGAACAAATGGAATGAACTTAGGATTGTTGAATGTGAGGAAAATACATATGATAGAGGCAGGTTTTCTTTTTGGTGTTTTGGAAATCACATGTACTACAAATGGACATAAATAGATTTGGTTTCAAAATAGGAATTTTAAAAGTAATTTACATTGTGTAGATTATAAATTTTATGTAAACATGGTTCATTCAAGAATAGTTTTGTGTTCTATATAGTCTAACCTTATCTCCAGATTGATGGGGGTCAGCTACTAAACCAAACACCCACATTCTAGGGTCAAATTATTGTAGTATTGTTCACTATTTGATGTTCCCCAGGTCTGGGCCTCATTATTAAGATAACTAAGAGTCCATTGTTTTTCAAGGCCTGAGATGGTTGACTCCAAATTAGTAATACTTGTTATTCTGTTTATATTGAAATCCAGTTTCAGGGGCTTAACAACCATTTTATTTATTTTTTCTTATTTTCTTCCCCCCAGCACATCCAGTACACAGAAAAGCAGTTTTTATTTAAATAATACTGAAATAAATGTTTAAGCCACTGACATCACTACCTGATTAAGAGTAGTAGGTGTGGCAAAAATATCCTGTGATAGTTGCAAACTAATTTAGAGACAATAAAATTTTCCATTGAGGCGTTATAATATGGAATGCTGAGACCAAAACATATAAATAATGTAACTGTAGAATCTATGAAAGGGGAAATAAGTGATTATTATCTTAAGAATGTTTTTCATCTTTTATTTAAAAAGTACTGATCAACCCCTCTCATTGTGGGACAGCTATGACTGTTTTAAGACAGTAAGTTGAGGAGATAGATTCTTCTTTTTTTGTATCATAGACATTTGATGTTTTCCTCCTTCCTGTTAAATGTACTTTCCCACCCTAGTTGTAGTCATAAAAACAAATTCCTGCGTAACCTCTGTATTAGATTTGGCCCTTATATTGGTTGCTCTTCTTACTAAGCCTTTGTTTCATAGTTTTAAAAATATTTTTATATTATTGGATTGCTTTTTATAACTAGGGTTTGTTTTGGGTTACTTTACTTACAGTTTAATTAGATGGAATTTATTAGAATTCTAGAGTAGATTGATTGTATTAAGAATAATGAACCACATGTAACTTTAAGACGACTATTAGTATTCAGTTTATTTATAATTTCTACCTCGCCTATTAACACTTAAGTTTGATGTAACTATGGGACACAGTAAAGCAGTGGATAGTCCATTTCCCTCAAACCATCTTTGACTTTATATGGGGCTTTTCTTGCTGTTAGAAGGACCTTTGGCTGTATTACATTCAACCAAATGATTAAATTATTAAGAGATTCTCCTTGGGCCATTGCCAGCCATTCATTGCTGTTAAGATGCTGTATTTATTATTAGACTGTTACCAGGTGCCTCTCTTCTATATTGGTGCTCTAGTTTTTTTTTTTTTTTTTTTGCATTCACATATAATGATACACATCTTCATTCTTTTTCTCAGTGCCTTACCTTTTCTTTTCTTTCTCTTTATTTCTTCTTCAGAAATCTGTTTCTTGGGGTATATTTACAGCCTTGTAATTTGAACTTTTATGCATTAGGACAAAAGACTTTCGAACTTTTATGCATCAGGCTGTTGGGTCCATATTCAGCAAGAATTATGTCTTAACGTGATGCAACCAAAAGCTCTAGGGGAAATAATCTTGAGGAAAACTCTTTTCTGTTTTGTAAATAATTGATGAGGAATGCAGTTTTTCTACATAACAAATAGGACTTTTTTCCCTTCAGAAATATTGAGATTTGAAACATTTTTTAGAAATGTTCAAGGATCAGTATTCAAGAGAACTCTTGAAAATTAAGTCTTCCAGTGGCAGCATTGCTCAGGGATTAGAACTGAATTAGCGCAATAGATCCTAGGGTTTCTTCTCTATTCTATTAGAACAGTTAAATCATCTTCACTTCAGTTCCTCATTTTTAAAATGAAAGTGAAAATGTGAGCTTCAGAGGAATGATGACATACAGGTAGAAAGTCTTAAACTCAATTCAGTAGCGATACAATAGGGCTTTGTTTTTCATGTAGATCTATTGCACTAAATGCTGTTGCTACTTATAAATGAATGTATAGTTTCACTACTTAATGGTTAAAGAGCTAAGTGTTACAAGGATAACTTTATAAACCCCAATTTCCCTAGAAACTGGTTTAGTCTCTTTTTAATCTTTTGATAGAGTAAATAACAATAGTATAGATGTGTAGTTCAGAATTTAAAATCAATGTGAGTTGGTCTTGTGTTCAAAAGCTTTAAAGCATTTTTCTCTGTGGTAGAAAAATATAAATTCTAGATTTTTAATGATGAATTGTATTTTTACTTGTATTGCTAATTTTATTTTTATAAAAGCCTAATTTGAATGAATAAAATATTATTGATGTTATATCTATATGAATCATATATTTAATAATGTAATGAATTACATTATATGTGCATATTTGATGTATATAATTTTGTAGCACTAACATGTTGATTTAACTATTATATCTGTTTTTATTAATGCTTTGCTATTATTTTATAGTCACTTCAGCTTTAATTTTTAAGATTAATTTTTTATCATATTTCAGGGAACCCATATTGAAATGTCTATTGGAATTATTTTGGGAATTTCAACTATGGCAGGTATTTAATAATAGTTAATGTTGTTATTTCATTGTCTTTACATTTATAAAACATTTCAGTAGGTTTAGAAGAGGGCAATTTATTTGAATGAGTTTACTCATTGGGATGTCTGTTAATTTTCTTCATCCTATTCTTCTAATTCTTAGTTTTGTGTATGTTGCACTTTTTCTGAAAATTTTAGGTACTTTATATTATTAGTTATTGGATAACAGCCCTCTGTTATACTGGTTTCAATAAGACAAGTTTTTCTGGCAATTCAGTGTTACTCCTAAACATTTCTACCCTTTGCCACTATTATTTATTTATGAGACGGTGTCTCACTCTGTTGCCCAGGCTGGCATACAGTAGCGCGATCTTGACTCACCCCTGGGCCCCCGCCTCCTGGGCCCAAGTGATTCTTTTGCCTCAGCCTCCTGAGTACCTGAGACTACAGGTGCCCACCACCATGCCCAGCTAATGTTTGTATTTTTAGTAGAGACGGGGTTTCGCCATGTTGGCCAGGCTGGTCTCAAACACCTGACCTCATCATCCACCCGCCTCGGCCTCCCAAAGTGCTGGAATTACAGGC